ATCACTATGAAAACTGAAACAATGCTTTTATTTTAGTTTGTTGCTAACTTCTTTGATCAAAGATCGTCAGCGTGCTTTGTTAAAGGTACATGTGTTATTGAAGGCGCTGCTAAAGGCTATCTTTGAAGGACCAAACAAATGCCATTTCTTATTGCTGCGGCACCATCAAATAGTTGTAGAACATTGAGACAAGTTTTGAGAAGAAAAAAATTCCTGAGTATATATCGGTGTTTCAGACATCAGTGTTCATTGAAGTTGCAGCAAAACTTTTTTATGTCTTCTTTTTTAATTGTCATTGTGTGGTTGACTATAGTCATTTCCCATTCCCACCACCAGAGGTGGTTGATTGTAGCTAGTCAGTAGCATGTCTAGTTCGATTATATTACAGCATACATTATCAAGGCCAGATATCAGCATAAGCAGATTATGATAATGCTGTTTACAAATTTAAACAAGTATTTTAGGGTTAAATGGAAAAATGAAGATTTCAAAGAGATTCAGAACTGTGCTAAAGCTGCTTGAACTAATAGTTTGGATGTGACAGTAGGAAAATGAAATGTTTAACATTTGGAATATTTGTCTCATAGGATTGGCTGAGGAGTATATTTTATGCTACATGCATCACAGTTATGCTTTTTTGTACATTTAAGGTTTTCATAGCTAATACTAGCACAAACTGCTTACTCAATTCAACATATTGACCAAAATCAAATACTGCAATGTGTATCTTTTGAAAAGTGTCAAATTTCACTAAAACATTCGGTTTCCATTAATTTCTTTATGTCAGCTTATTCTGCGAATGGCTTAGAAAAAATAAAATCTTAATGCATCGGGCTAGGGAAATGGAATGCATTACTTTGTACTCTTTCAGTCATCATTTCAGTCAAGGAATGAGTCAGGTTTGACAAAATTCACTGTAGCAATACCACTAAATGGCAAGAAATATTAAGCAAACTAAACCAATCATTTTAAAAAATTGGTTAAAGTTCAACATTTTTATCAAAGTAAGTTATTAGGCTGAAGAGAAACAAAAATTATTAGGATATAATATGTTTACAGCATCTTGTTTATGGAAAACAGAATTTCATAATAATTTTGAAACTGACTACACCTATGCATTTCTTGACAATCTGAGCTTCAAGTTGACTTGTTGGTTAGCAGATGATAAAATAGGTGTGGGACAACTTTCAAAATTAGAAACTTGGATAAAGATGCAGTATTGTTCTAAGTTAAACCTTTCCTAATTTTTAAATAATGTAAGATAAATAGGTTTTTCTTGGTTACAAGTTCAAGAAGGTCATGGGGTGGGTCTTCATGTTGATATTTAGTAATTGCATTTTCGTCTGCATTTAGAATGAAAATGTAGGATATTTTGTACACTTTATGAATATTTACCTAAATTAAGATTCTCATGCTTTCTTGATACAAATTAGATTTTCAACCAAAAATGTGATTCAGAGTTTACGGAAATAATTGTGCAGATTAGTATGATGCACATAATGTTCTGACATGGTGGTAATATATATTTAAGTGTTCCATGACAGCAAGCATAAGAGAAAAAATTTCTCATTCTACTTGCCAGCATCCCTATAATTGTTATGAATCCCCATATTGTGATTATTATAGGGAGACAAAAGTGCATGTATATTATGTCAATGTTTAAGGCCAAACAAAATAAATTTGTTTCTGTTGCACTGATTTTAAAATGAGGGTAGGAAGGTCAATTTTTTTAAGCATTCAATATATTTAATTAGATTTTTTAAATTTTTTATGATTTGTTTTACCATGGGTAAAAAAGTTCTAGTGTCTGCAGTGAGAAACAGTGATAGTCAAGTGGACACATTTTTTTGTTTAGCCAAATATTGCATTTATTTAGGTTGTTTCAGAAAATCTTTGACTTTAATTTTTTTGGTGAAGCTTTAAAAATTAAACAAAATAGTGTTTATTTTAGTGGGAGTTTACTTATCTGTAATTGCCACAATGTAATCATGATATTGGCCATTTGAATTTTGTTGCAATGTGTAGCAGTGCTCATTTTTTTTAAATCAAATGGTCAAAATACATTGTATAATGACCAAAGTGATATTGCATGTATAAACATTCACCATAATCTCTGTCTTTCTTTCTCTCACTCTTCTGAATTTCTCTTTTAGCGCAGGAGTCATGGTGGTTAATGAGCAAAATTTATAACCGAAGGTTGCAGGTTAAAATCCTTCCAACTGAATAGCCTGAGTTAGTTACTGTGGTGAGTGATTATGCAAAACATTTTTTTCGTTTGGTTATTTGCAATAAATAACCTGCTTGTGTTGCTGTATTTTAAAATGTCAAATACCATCGGGAAAGCCACTGACAACTAAGAGTTAATTACATTGGAAATGTTTTTTTATATCGCGACAAGGATAAGAAGGTGTGTGAAGAGATGATGAATTATGTCCGCCTTTCTAACCTGTATACTGAAAATAAAGCTAGTATATCAACCCTTATAAAATGGCACTACCCTACCACCGACATACTTTCTAAAGATGAAAAGATCATATGTTGATATGTGTATCTATAATGTATCATGTCGTAGGCTGTGTATTATGAATTATATCAATACACACGGAAGTTTATCATTTTGCCTCAAGTCATTTGGAGTGAAACAGTCTAAAATTTGAAGAAATTTTGACAATTACACGAAGAAAAAAAATGCAAATTTAATTTTCTGGTTTAAAAAACTTTATGTCTGCTATAAATAAAGACCAAATTCTAGCAATTGTTGTGCTTAAATAATATTTCTAATTACTCTGAATGAACATGATTTATTTTTATCCCAAATTACCTCTCACCTGTTGAATATCACATACTTGCATCTGGCTCTAGAGAAAGCGTCAGTAGGAGATTTGAATTGTTCAAAGCTACAATGCCATCATTACATGCAAAAGTCCTAGCACATTAAATCCTTATTGCCATTGTTACATGCAAAAGTACCTTCTCCCTCAAAAACTGAGATATCCTGAAATTTCCATGTGTATGAATTAATTTGATGTTAATTGGGTTAGCCGATTTCAGTTGAAACTGGCACAAAAGTTTTTGATGATGTCATCATTGTAAATATAAGAAACTGGCACTATATTATGTTGGATTGTTTTCACCCCAGATTCACCCTTTAGTGTATATTCCAACTAGTCTTTTTTTCATCTAATGCATGCTTTTTCTTCACAGATCCACATAACAAATGCAGGCCTGCCTCTCTTCGTTCTCTCAGATCAGTTTATGCACCATGTGTTAATGTTGTTGTTATTAGATTAGTCACTAACAGAATTTGTTGAATGTATTATATTGCTGCTTTTGGAGCATTTCAGAAAAAGATCAGAATTATGAGTGACATTGTTGACTGAATTTTGGGGTAGCACCTCCTAATCCAAAACTGAATATTTGAACGTTGTTTAAACCTAGCATCTTGATTTTTTTTAAAAAGATGGTTTATGTCAGCCTTTTTTACAACCCATTTCCTTCCTACTAAGTTTGGTTATATTGGAAGAATGGTTAAATTTATCATAAACATTAGAGTTGGGGCTTTAAACAGAAAACCAGTGAAGGTGTCAAGTGAACACATTTGACATCATTTACATTCTGAATGATATCATTTGTATGCATGATATCATGGACATTTTGTTGCAATGTGGAACATGCACATACAAAAATGTTTCGTTAGATGAAAATAAAACAATTTTGTTTACATCTTCTTGTAAGAGACTCACTTTTCACAGCTAAAATATTTTCTGAAGTTATTTATCAAAAGCACTGAATTCTATGTGGAACTCTCATTGCTGAAATCTTTTTGAAAACCCTAACACTGGACTTGACCCTCAAATGTCTCAAGTTCAAGCCCAGTAGGGGCAAGGAAATGATGTGTTTCCTGTCCCTGTCATGAATATTAGTGGCTATTTTATGTGAAACAATATGCCACTAAACTAGTGGGAATATTAAATGGCAGTCCCTCTGCTGAAAGACATACTCTGGTCAAGCAAGAACCCATAATGTGGCGTTTAAAAAACTGGGTGCTTTTAGCTTTACATAACTTTTCTATATTCCTATGAGTGTTCCCTTGTATACCAGTTTGTATTAATGCATAAGGCATGAAATGCTGGAACAGAATCATTGAGGTTAAAAGAGTTGGGGTATTCCCATATATGTTTTAAGTTGCAAGACTGTATCACTGCATACATAAAAAATAAATAAGTTTACAGTTATATTACTAGCATCATCTGTAGAAGCAGTGTAAAGTTTTAGTTCTCCCCCACCCAAACCATGATTCAGTCTCTCAAGTGGTTTGTAGGAAATTTGACAACTGAATGAAAAATAATAAGTACCTACTGTGAAAATGTTATGATTCATTACAGATTTGGTCATTTAACATTAAATCCAGTGTCCGAGATATCACAATGTTTATTTTGCTTTGTTATTGCACACAGACTGGTTCTTCATCTTTAATTAGCCTGGGCATCCAAAAGGAATAAAGACCAATACATAAGAGCTTGTGACCAGTTAATTTGCAAAAATAATAATGGTGACAGCTTATATGTTGAATTTTAATCTCATAAATGAGAAAATTGGTAGCAATGCAGACATTTTGCTATGTATCATATGCAAAATATTTTGTAAAGGTAAACAATGTTTTTTTTGTTTTAATTTGTTGTTACATTTTGGGGGAGAAAATGTTTGAAAGGCTGAATGATGGTGACATTGACCAAAACTAAGGCTTTACTTAGTGTACACTTTGATCCATAGATAGTGGCAGAGTAAGATTTTGACATAACTCACGTAATTCAAGAATTGGTTGCATCTCTGTTACTACAATGCCCTTAAAAATAAGGCCACTGTGACCTATATTTTAGGATTTACTGTCATGAGTTAGGATTTTGTTTTTATGATCACATTGGTGCTAGAAATATGTATATTCAAATGTAAACTTTCCATGTTAATAACTATATCTTGTAACTGTATATTGTGAGAAAGCCATTGTAGCTCAGTTGGTAGAGCATTGGATCAGTAATCAAAGGGTAGCATGTTTGACACGCACCAAGGTAGCCTGGTAGCCTACCACTTCGGTCCGGAAAAGCATTTATATATTGTGATAAGTTATCATCAATAGGTTAACTGTGTATTGTACATATGACATGAATCTGAGCTGAGGAGAATTGCCAAGGCAGTGCAAAAGTGTGAGTATTATAAATCTCTGCTTGTCCACTGTTGGTAGAGCATTGGATCAGTAATCAAAGGGTAGCATGTTTGACACGCACCAAGGTAGCCTGGTAGCCTACCACTTCGGTCCGGAAAAGCATTTATATATTGTGATAAGTTATCATCAATAGGTTAACTGTGTATTGTACATATGACATGAATCTGAGCTGAGGAGAATTGCCGAGGCAGTGCAAAAGTGTGAGTATTATAAATCTCTGCTTGTCCACTGTTAAGCGTGCAGCCTCATGAAGTATCTCCTGACTGGTGTGCCACAGAGAATTCAGAGCACAAATTGGCTTGATCTTAAACATGATAGAAAAGGTTTTTCATTTTTATTCTTTTATATCTTGTATGCCCTGTCAAAGTAGGTAGGTAAGTAGGTAGGTAGGTAGGTAGGTAGGTGGGTGGTTTCAGAATTATATATGTCAGCACAATACTGGCCATATAGTGCCAAATTAAAGTTCAAGTTTCAGATTAAAAAGATATTCAAGTTAAGATGTGAAGATTAAAGACTATTAAAAGATCTTCGTTTGAAAAAAAAGAGGTTATGATCACTTTAGTCGGAAATTTATATTGTTCATGTTAATGTCTCCTAGACTAGTGTAGAGATGAGCTATATAATAATTGATTACACTTTAGTCTTAGGTTTGAAATGGACGACAAAGTGACAGGCTATCATATTTCATTTAAGTCCCACTATTAAGCTTTTTAAAATTTTCTTTAGTGTTTCACAAAAACTACACAACTTGGTGTGCTTTCAGGCATGATAATAAAATGTTTTGTGCTGCCTTGATGAAATTTCTGTATGTAAGCATTTGTGTATCTCCTTGTCATTTCAGCTAAAACATAATTCTGATAAGTCTTATTCATATTTCAGATGAAGGACTGTTGGTGATCTGAGGCATTGATCATGATTTTTTCCCTTGGTTATGCCATTTTTGCCCTTGTCCAGTGGTGGAAGCAACGATTCAGACACAAAATGTACTTTAGCATTCTTCGCAGTGCTGTTCAGAGAGGCAGTGTTTTGATACAGAGACCTGTGACTGCAAAACCTACAGGGTACATAATAAGGTCCTCTCTGGTCAATGGGTCTCTGACATTCAAAGATGAGAATATTTATGTGGACAGGGGTGTGCTTTTTTCATCTATAAAACCCAAGGTAATATTTCCAAAAAGTTAATAGTGATTAACTACAGTAATATATAGTTTATGTAGATGGCACATCTCCAACCTTTTTAATAACATAGTGGAACATGGTGTCCAGAGTATATTCAGTTTTCAGTTATTTAGACAACCAATTAACATGACAAATTTCATGTCTCTAAATGGTTAAATGATTCTTTGGATGGTTAATTGATTGAATGATTCTTTGGAATGTTGATTCAGTGCCAGATTACTGAATAGGCTGAGTAGGTACCAGACTATGGGCCCCATGTCTTTTATTAAAATTGTTGGCAAAATTAAAAATGTATTAGGAGATAATTTGCAAGGGTGGCCCAGAGATTGACTGCCTAGAGGCCTGCACAGGGTTTAATCCTCACTGTGTTGATTGATTGATAGATTATTTGGGTGGGTTTTAATGGCACTTCTAATACACTATTTGCTATATTTGCCAAGGAAATGGGAGGTAAGTGCATTCCCAAGAACAGAGCCAACAAATCTGGGCTAGCATGGGTAGGTATCAAACCCATGAACCTTGGACTATATGTTTAGTGCTCAACCAGCTGAGCTAACATGGTGCTTCCCATTGAATCTAAAATGTTGTTAGGTTTTATGTTTTTTTAGCATAATTGTACAATAAATTTTTACATCTTAATGTACTGCATGTTCACTTGCTGGCCCAGTTGATGGTATAATGTGATTATTAATGCGTAGAAAACCAATGACATTAGAGAGATGGCCACTAACCACAAAAAGGTTGTTGTTGTTGTTGTTGTTGTTGGGCTTAACGCCATTTTTCAGCACATGATAGGCTATTCATGGCGGCCAGTATTAATGGTGGAGGAAGAAACCGGGAAATCACCGGAAAGAACCACCGACCCACGAGAAGCTACTGGCAAGCTTTCTCACATATCCACATTCGCCGAATCTCAGACTCGAACCCACGCAGACAGAGGTGAGATGGCAGTGATCCGTAACGGACAGCGCTTTAGACCACTCGGCCACTCGGGGCCCCCACAAAAAGGTAAAAGCAAGAGTCTTGTCAGCACATTTGATGTCCCAATTATTTAAAATCTTTCCAAACCCTAAGGCATTTGTTAATGTTGATCATGAACAGGAAACAGGCACTAGACTCTGTTCAAGTTCATTTTTAATATGCACTTTAAATAAATATCTGATTAAAACAAATGTGCTTGTGACAGAGTTTGTTCCAGATAATATACCAAAACATTACAAAAAGGTCCTATATGTTAAGAAACAAATGTACAGTGTTGGTCAGTTAAAATGGCAGTGAATATTTTGACATTTTTGCACAAAAAATCAACTTTATAGTCATGCCCCATATTTTACCTTGTTTTCAGTCAATGAATGCTAATTACAGGTAATTCACCTTGACTTTCATATCTATATCATTTGGTCCATTTTTTCAATCTCTTTGTGAAAGCTTAAAATAACAATTATTTTGGTGTCCATGCATCCATCTCCACCCTAGACTGAGGTCAGCATTCAAATTTTTGAGACTAAGCTCAGTGTTAAAAAGCTCTTTTCTTTCCAGATTTACCAGTAGCAGGCTTGATAAAGTCAGGTCCTTGTTAATCCATTGGGCCTGACTATAAATCTCTTTCATATTTTGCTTTGTATTTGGCATAGTCTTGTACAACAGTTTTTATGAAGTGAACTATAACATTTGGGCAGGAAAGGGGTAGAATCAAAGTAATGCTGAGCAAATCCCATGATGTTACATCTGGGACAAGTGAAATACATTGTTGGGTGAGTGAACATATCTATATGGTTTGTCTGGGACAAGTCATTTTTTGTCAGTATGAAAATGTTAGACTACTGTAGATTCTATATGTGCTTCACAGCTAGCTTACTAAATAATCTGAGATAAGTCAGAGTTGTCCAAGCCACAGTGCAGTACACTAAGTGCTGACTGTCATTTATGTATTTCTCTGCCTCATATGACAGTAATGATCAGCTTTGCAGAGAGTTTGGCACTTGCATAACCAAGTGAAATCAAAGTAATGATTCTATCAAGAACTGCTAATGACTGAGATAATGACTTTATAATACTTAAATCATTAACCCTTATTGTCGTATTTATGGGGCAGAAGGTGGTAGCCTACTTCGGAGCTCTATTGTGTTAAGGTCATGTGCAACACAATAAAGCTCTATTGTGTTAAGGTCATGTGCAACACAATAAAGTGGGTGGTATTATAGAAAGGTAGACAGATGTAGCTTTACGATGATACCAAAACATATGCACTACAAAATAGAGAGGAAAAATGTCAGCTTTTTGGACCCAAGTTTTTTCCAGCCGAAATTCACCTGAGGTCGTGATCCGGTTTTGTGTTCGAATTTGAGACTTTTTGACCTCGGATCTGAGACAGATCAGTCTGAATTGCACACAGACATGTGAACCTTTGCAAAAAGTAGGATAAGATGTACATTTAGAATGAAGATTGTCCTCGACACAAAAATGATGGGTCCATTAAGCAAAAAAAAAGAGAACTCCAATTTTTACCCTTCTGCTCATGCTCAGGTGAAAGAGCCAATGAAAATCAATGTTTCTAACACAAATGTGCATTAATTTAACCAAAAATGTCTTTGAAGTCGATGTATTATAATGTATTCAGAAATATCTCCCATAATCAATTTCTTACTCAAATTTCAGGTGAAAATGACAAAAACCTCCAGGGGTTAATGGGTTAATTAGAGTACTGAAAAACTGACAAGACTGAAGAAGGGGCTAAAGTTGATCAAGTTGACCTTTGTTGACCATATGGAATTAGGCTTAGCATTATATTCTTGCTTTTAAGTTGAGTCCTACTTGCAAATGCACAGACCTTGGTCTGCTGTAACATAATGTACACCAGAGCTGGGTCTAAGTAGCTTGTTAGGAGTGATCAGTAGAACAAACAACATAGACTCTGACCAGAATACTTGAAGTTACATATATACAGAGATAGATGAAGTACAGTGAAATTGCAAAAATGATGAAAATATTAATAAAGACCATTTATCAGTACATGTAATTTAATTGTATGACCTGATTGACTTATTTTTTTCTTGGTTTTTTTTATGTAAACTGAGTGTTAAAAAGAAAATATGTACAGTTGGGTCTTATTTATTTTTGTAATTATTTTCCAACAATCAGTAAAACTAAATTAAGTCACATTAATCCTCATTCAGTTTTAGTCCTGTACAGTGTATCCCCAAGTTGGATTCCCCCTTTCTTCAGCAACCTTATACAAACACTAAGTGTCTTAAAATCTTTAGCATTCATCAAATTTATATGCAAAGTATAGGCATACATTTTCCCATCAAGGTGGTGACATGTTGTGAGATCAGTTTTATTTATATATGCTTGTGTGCATGGTTTTAGTTTTTTGGTTTTTGTTTTTTTACTTACAGCAAAAATTGGCATTGATGGACTGGACAGCTTATTTTGGGGTCAAAGGACACTATGAGGAAGATGAGAATCATGAGGATGTAATGGTGTTGCTAGAAGCTTCTCGACCAGCAAATCTAGAACTGTTCCTTGCTCATCAATTCTCTATGCCTCCAAGCAAGAAAATACATGTGAGTCATCAAGGTTTTGTTGTCTTCTCTCAGTTATTGTTGTTGTTATTATTGTTACTGTAAATCAGACAATTTTAGGGTGCGCAAAATTTTAGAAAATATTGCAAGGAA